GAGCCTTCTCTTCTCCAGGCTGAACAGCCCCAACTCCCTCAGCCTGTCCTCATAGGAGAGGTGCTCCAGCCCTCTGATCATCTTCATGGCCCTCCTCTGGACCCGCTCCAACACATCCATGTCCTTTTTATTCTGGGGGCTCTAGAGCTGGATGTAGTACTCCAGGTGGGGTCTCATGAGAGTGGAGCAGAGGGGCAGAATCCCCTCCCTCGACCTGTTGGCCACGCTTCTCTTGATGCAGCCCAGGATACAGTTGGCTTTCTGGGCTGCAAGCACACATTGGTGGCTCATGTTGAGCTTCTCATCCACCCCTACCCCCAAGTCCTTCTCCTCAGGACTGCTCTCGAGCCACTCTCTGCCCAGCCTGTACTTGTGTTTGGGATTGCCCCGACCCACGTGCAGGACCTTGCACTTGGCCTTTTTGAACTTCATGCGGGTCACACAGGCCCATCTCTCCAGCCTGTCAAGGTCCCTCTGAATGGCATCCCTTCCCTCCATCGTGTCAACCACACCACACAGCTTGGTGTCGTCGGCAAACCTGCTGAGGGTGCACTCAGTCCCACTGTCCACGTTGCCATCATATCCATATCTCTTGCTGGCTCAGGCAGCAGTGGAATCAAATGAGAGCAGGGATGTGGTGTTTTAAAAGAGCTTAAAATTGGTTGGTTTTAATGAAAGTGTGACCACAAGAGCCAGACTTTTCTCTGTAAGCACTGAACAGTCTGAACTTTGCTGCATCTTCATAAACAGGAGGGAGATGCCAGCTGAGCTACGTTCATTGATAAAAAAAAATGCTTCTAACAAAATTCACCTTCTTTCTCACATGTACCAGAAAAAACAATAAAAAGCCTCACTATTCACAATCAGAGGGGAGAAAATCAGTGCTGCAGACAGCGTTGCTCCTTCCCTCCTACCTTTACACACTGTAGCTGCTGGTGCAGTGTAGTGTCCACTGCCTCTAGCCTAGACAGCAGAAATTCACTCTGAGTAAGCTCTTGAGAGGCAAGCTCACAGCAGGAACTACCAAGAACAAAGTGTCTATTTCCCGATCTTACTGCTTGCAAGGAGAACAACCCTTTCTTACATCTCTTCTCTTCCAGGGTCATAGCCGGCAGGATGCCATGCTGGCCCGTGAGAGAAAGAAGAGGCCACCGTGCCGTGCCATGTGCTGTGAGGCGCAGCAGCAAGGAGCAGGGCAGAGGCCACAGCGCCGGGCTGCGGAAACGCTGGGTGTCTGCACGCTGCCGGAAAACACGAGTTGAGAGTCATGTGTGGCGTTCGTTAGTGACTCACACGATTAAGATTTGGCATGGCTGAGTGGTAAGACAGCAACACGGTTTTACCGTAAAGGGGCAAATATGTTTATTGCTGTGCTATATGAGATTCAGTTAAGCGGCAATGGTCATTTAGGTTCCAGAGCTATTGTTTGGAAGTTGCAATGCTTTGTGTTCCTGTTAGAGCTGTTCATTGAGCATAAACAATTAATTCCCCTGCAAATGAGGCTGATGGCATAGCACAGAGGTTGTCCCACTCTGGTCTCCCATTGAAGAGTCAACCCGTTGGCAGGTATTTAAGCGGAGTAGAGCAGCAGGAAGAGGGATGTGACTGCACAGCTTTAGCAGAGCGTCAGCTTGGAAACGCTCAGTGCTCAGCCAGGCTGCAGGAGGGAGACACCCGCCCAAGCCCTTGGTCTCTCGTTTGCTGCACCCGTTAGTTACGTCGGGGACGGTTTCTCTCAGGTTTTGACTTTTTGATTTTTTTTTGAAATCTCATCTCTGGCTGGAGAAGGAATTCTGATTAACTTGAAGGAAGGAAACCTGTCAGAGAACAAACCTCCTTGCTAATAGGACAACGTAGAGAAACCTCGCCGTTTCCCTTCAGAGAATGCCTTAGCCCTTGCCTGTGTTCTCTGATTTACAGTCTTCCGTACTGGTGACTTCACCAAAACACCTCAGTAACATCTTTCTTTCGGCTCTGAGACCGCTGCCGTTCGCTGGGAAGCCTCGACTTTCACCGTGCAAC